GTCCATATTGACATGATAGCATCACACAGTTGCTGCAGATTTGTTGGCTGCACATCCATGATGCGAATCTCCCGTTCCACCACATCCCAAAGGTGCTCTATTGGATTGAGATCTGGTGACTGTGGAGGCCATTGGAGTACAGTGAACTCATTGTCATGTTCAAGAAACCAGTTTGAGATGATTTGAGCTTTGTGACATGGTGCGTTATCCTGCTGGAATTAGCCATCAGAGGATGAGTACACTGTGGTCATAAAGGGATGGACACGGTCAGCAACAATACTCAGGTAGGCTGTGGTGTTTAAACCATGCTCAGTTGGTACTAAGGGGCCCAAAGTGTGCCAAGAAAATATCCCCCACACCATTACACCACCACCAGCAGCCTGAACCGTTGATACAAGGCAGGATGGATCCATGCTTTCATGTTGTTTATGTCAAATTCTGACCCTACCATCTGAATGTCACAGCCTGTGTGAACTGTAGCCTCAGTTTCCTGTTGTTGGCTGACAGGAGTGGCACCTGGTGTGGTCTTCTGCTGCTGTAGCTCATCTGCTTCAAGGTTGGATGTGTTGTTGGTTCAGAGATGGTCTTCTGCAGACCTTGGTTGTAACCAGTGGTTATTTGAGTTACTGTTGCCTTTCTATCATCTTGAACCAGTCTTGCCATTCTCCTCTGATCTCTGGCATCAACAAGACATCTTCACCCAGAGAACTGCCACTCACTGGATATTTTCTCTTTGTCGGACCATCCTCTGTAAACCCTAGAGATGGTTGTGTGTGTAAATCCCAGTAGCCAGCCCGTCTGGCACCAACAACCATGCCACATTCAAATTCACTAATATCACTCTTCTTCCTCATTCTGATGCTCGGTTTGAACTTCAGCAGGTCGTCTTGACCGTGTCTACATGCCTAAATGCATTGATTTGCTGCCATGTGATTGGCTGATTAGCCTCCCTCATTAAATGTGCAGTTTGAAGTCTTAGTCTTGTGTCTAACTCAGTCAGCAGAAACTGGTGGCATTATATGCTTCTGCAAACCACAGATATGCTCCATTTGTGCTTTTTATATGTCAGTCAATGTTTCTGAGGTGATGTAGCTCTGATTACATGTATATGAGCTGACTTTGTCATCCGGGAGGTGGAGGGGATGCTGGATGGCATGACACGTAGATGAGACAGCTGCCAAGCTGCAGATCAATGAGACCAACAAAGCTGGTTGGGTTTTTTTCATCAGCAGCGATGCCAGCTGTGATTTTGCCACCAAAACCAGGCATTTTAGGCCAAAATATATTTTTTCCCAAACCATAGCCAGTGGTTTTTGTGCCTCAGCCTAACCACACATTAACTACAATGTTGTAGAAACATAAGGTTTCAGCATACTTGCTACATTTACTACATACATCCAATGTTACGAGCAGAATCGTACAATGGGGACATTTATTTTGGAGATTGGGTTAAAAAACCCTTATCTTAACTTTTATCAAAAATGATCATATTATGTTTTTATGTTAAAGACATACCAGCTGATGTGTTGTCATCCAAACTCCCAAATGCCTCAAGATTCCTGTCAGATAGGCTCTACTATATTTTTTGTGTTTTTTATTATACCAGAGAGAAGGAGAGGTTATTCATTGTTTGTTTGTTGTTGTTTTTTAATCATGACTTATGATCACTACTGCCCTAAAGACGAATAAAAAAAATATGTTTATACAGCACTGTTTACTGCTCTCTGATGACCTGATACTGGAAAATCAAAAATCAATTCAAAAGTTTTCCCCAGAAGCAGCAACACCACTGCCCCGTTTCTCTCGAAACACCCTGAGCATGAAGAATGAGAGTGCACTCTTCTTTTTCACTGCGGCTCACAAGTGTTCACCTCCCTTTGGGCCTGAAGTATTAATGGATGAGTTTATTCTGGAGTCAGGAAGGTGACCTTCATGCATGTCCGTCCGCAGAGAGGCCAGTATTCCATTTTCCACCACCAGCCTCTTATTCTTTCATGGGTCTTTTCTTTTCTTTTTTACAAGCACTTGTAAATCTGATGCTGTTTTTTATTATTATTTGTTCATATTTATCCCATAAAAGGACAATTCAAGAATGTTCCAGATGGAGGTAGATGGTGGTCTAAAAGAAGAGATTAACAAGCTGTGATGAAACACTGTGTTCCTTGAGATAGGGTGACGATGAATAGAGGCAGCAGCCTAGTTACATAATTTCATCTTGATTAGCTTTAAGTAAGATTAAAAAGTTTCCGCCTCAGGATTCACTCAGGTGTAACTTAGGAAAAAAGAAGGATCAAAGAGAAAGGATGAAGATGAACTTGAAAATTTCAGCTGCAATTAAAAATAACCGTATGCCATTCCCTTATTTGTATTCAATTAAATCCTGTTTGGTGTGTGCTGGGGCGTTGTATATTTTTTGTCACAGAGAGTGGTATCACCTGATAGTCCAGATACAAGCCACCTCTCTGCCTTCATGCCCGCAAATCATGAGTGACAGCTCATATGACAGCGAACACAGCCCCTGACATTGCTTTTACAGCCTTCCCTTCACCCTGAGTTCCCCCCTTTCTCAAAAAAGTGTTGGATGTGTGTGACTATGATGAGAGTTGATAGCACTGCTGGTCCCACTTGCTCCATCAGCCCCGGGCTGGGCTAATGCCTGTTGGCAGGGCCAGGTCAGGTGGTGTGAAGGGACAGTGGATGGTGGCATGGCCCTGACAGCACGAGACAAGTGGCAAACACTCAGGCTTAGTCATTTTAAAAAGATAATAATGGCTTATTAGGGTATGTGTTTTCACTGAGAAACAAAAAACTGTCGTGCACTATGATGTCTCTTCTGTCTGGCACGAAATTTTATTCTTGGGTGTCTCAGCTCTCAGTTACAATTCTGACGATCTCAGTTTCGTTGTCTTTGGTGGCACCTTTGGTAAGCAATAATTACAGGTGTCTCCTTGGATCTCGCTTAACAGAGTGAACTTTTTTGCAGCGTCAGCACACAAGCAAGTTGAAGAGCAAGTCGGTTACGTTGCCTCCGCCTACCCTCTCTAGTCGACCAACCACCTGCAGGTGTTGGAAAACGCACCACTAACTGTGCACCACTTCTGATTTGTCTGCAGACTGTTGCCACAGACACCAAATTCATAATACTGCAAATTAGGGCTGACCCAAATGCTTCAAAGCTTCAATCATTGCCATGGTAATTGACATTCAGATTAGTATTCGAACGCTTCGATTTTTGGGTCAGACGTGAGACCAGTGTTCTCAGCTCAGTCACTGACCCCCACTTCAAGCATTAAATTGGCAGTCCGACGAGGTAAAGGAACCATTAGACGAATTGCGGACAATTATCCGTGGCTGGCAACAGTAGTAAAGCACCTGCTTTGCGTCTAGTGATGAGGCCCGACCCGCAGTGTTCTGAGTTATTGATAACTTACAGAATCTTTGCTTGCAATAGTCCGACCCAGTCACATCCTGTCCAAGCTTTGAATATTTGTGGGTAATTACAAGGGGTGGGGGAAAAAATTAATACAGCATAGTATCACGATATTTTTGTGTGGTAGAATTGTATTGTCACACAGTGCCAAGTATCAATTAGTTTATTATATAAATTATATAAAGCTGACTTTTAAATTAGTTTATACTAATTTAATTTAATCGCATGGTTTACATTACTTCCCTCTGCTAGCTGTCAGTCTTCTTTGTTGCCTTTGTTGACGCATTGCTACATTTATTTGAGCATTAATGCCGCCAACTGGTGATCAGTCTATACAATGAACATTTTTCTCATCACCTTATTGTGCTGTAGTACCACAGTTGTGATCAGGGACTTTTATATAATGACTGAGCTTCCACTTATGGTATGTAAGTGCATTTAAAAGTTTGCTGTTTGGCAGCCGACTCGTTTGATACAGTCGATCCCAGCCAACAGCTGCACTGCTTTGACAAAGCTGTAGACTGTTAATTGTTAAGTGATTTATTTCTACCTCAGTGTTGATTTTCAGAGCTCACTGAAGTGAACAGAACCAATATCTGCTGTTTATAGAGAGAGAGAAAGAAATATATATCAAATTTAGGGGTTTAGGGGTAGGGGTTTCTGTTACCTTAGAATGAGCCATTTATAGCTACATAAGGGAGAAGGTCCTCATCTACAGAGATCACCATGTTGCACCGCCATGTTTCTACAATAGCCCAGACGGACAAACCAAACTCTGGCTCTAGACAGGGTCATTCGCATTTTGGGGTTTTCGTGTCGGCCACAGTAGTTAGCCACCTTTCCACAATAAGCAATGTCGCAAAGTAAAACTGCTTTGGTGAGTGTTTTACTGGTTTAAATCACCGGGTCTCTTTGTTTTGGAGAGGAAGAGACCTCTGTAGATAATTTGGCTCACTGTAAAAACTTCCTGTAGGTCTGGATCAGAAATAAGGTGAGCAGAGATTAGCAGGTGCTGAGCTGGTGGCCTGTCTGCGTAGAAGAAATAGGTGATTCAGCTCCCGGAAAAACCTCCTGAACAATGAACACTGAATGAATTCCAACCAGGAGAAGTTTCAGCTAATAGCAACCTGCTACCCTCATCGCTAGATGCCAAATCCCCCTAAATCTTACACACTGGACTATTTAATAGACTAAAAAAGCAAAGCCACCTTTGAATTATCTTTCATCATGTACTTCCATGAATTGGGAAAAGTAGTAGTATTACCATGAAGTATTAAACCGTCTCTCCTCCCTGCACCCTTCTTCTATCAGTGTGAAAAATCAACATTGAACTGAGTAGCGGAACCTTTCCTTCATATCTGTACATCGTGTTCTCAAAAATGTAAGCATAAATAAACCAGACACCCCCGAGGACAAATTGTAAGTGTTAGCGGCGGGTCACCTCTGGGTGGCTCGTGTTTTCAAAGCAGAAACAGCTGTAGCCAAAGTTGAGCTTTATTCCACTCACAAAGACAACAGCAACATGGTTGTGAAGTTTCTTTGTAACTCTGATCTTTTAATGTTCCAACAGGCGCTGGGGAGTCTGGGAAGAGCACCATCGTAAAGCAGATGAAGTAAGTTACAAAAGCAATCTCTATCTTACTTTATTTTTTAAAATTTGGTCTTTAATGTTTAACCCAAAAATGGATTTACAATTAAAAGTGGGCTTCCACTGTGAAACTTTGCTTGTGAGCCACTATATGCTGTAAACTAGCCAAACCTGACCAAATCTGGCCACAGGTTTACATGACACACATAATATTTGTTTCCCAAGGAAGAATTCATTTGTCATCTTGTGTTTCTGTTGTTTTATTTTTGTCTCAAGCTGTAAGACAATGTCCCAGATGTTAAATTCTGATGTGCGCTCACACCTGATGATTCTCTGCTCACTGTTAAGCTGCCATACATCCTCTGTGTTCAGCTCACACACTCAGGAGCGAACCATATTAAATCAGACGTTACAGCTCAATAGTATGCGGTGCCATGTCACTGTTAAATAAAATAAATTGGACTTCCTCCTTTGTGGTTCATGTGGTATACAGGAGATATTGTAATGCCTCCGCACCAATCAGAATGCACACACTCACACAGGACCCCAAATGGCTTAATTATTCACATTCCTCTGGGCTAGCCAGGCAGTGAATCCATTTTTTATGAGCTCGGAGCAGGAACAGTCTGTTGCTTTTTGAAGCCAGGTTATTAACACGTACAGGCATACAGATAAATGATCCTACAAGACAGAAACACTTGCCCATTATGTGACATTACACATTGATGCATCCTGCGCAAACATATCATTACAGAAGTGAAAGTGAGTAAAACTATTTGTTTTCTAAATCACTGCCGGTCATTATCATTTCCACCAACACTTAAAAGCAGTTGGCAGTTTTACTTTAGGATTATTGTGGGGTCATTTCAGTTGTGCTCTCTCTGCACTTCCCTCCGCAGCCTGATGGAGTCCGGATGATTGCATGTCATGACAGGATGCTCAGACACTTAGTTCTCTCACTCGCAGGTCCTGAGTTGTAATATTTCAGGAGATAAACTCAGGATACTGCATCAGCCGGATGCTGCAGTGTTGAGGCAGTTTCTCTGGGTGTTGACTGCACTGCTACACATCACCCTACACACCATGCTGACATGATGATTGTGATGCAGAGTGGAGAGTATATGCTTCTTGGTAGGAGAGCTAGCAGACAAAACAAAGCTGCTTCTCAGCTTCAAACTGGTCCACATTTTGACGCCCAAATGTTTGCTCTGTTCATATATTTTTATACATTTATGATAGCATATGTTTTTTATGTTGTACTTAAAGGGACAGTTCACCCCAGAATCAGAAATACATATTTTTCCTCTTACCTGTTGTGCTGTTCATCAGTCTCATTTGTTTTGGTGTGAGTTGCCGAATGTTGGAGATATCGACCATAGAGATGTCTGCCTTCTCTCGAATATAATGGAAATAGATGGCACTCGGCTTGTGGTGCTCAAAGTGCCGAAAAACTCATTGAAAAAGTCATCGTCAGTGTCTCTTTCCAGACATCATGACTCAGTAACTCCAGATAATCCACAGACCTTGATGTGAGAGTTACTCATATTTGCGACAGCGTGAGATGTAAACGCTAACAGCTTCCTTCTTGGGCAAGCTGTAATGTTAGTTAGCTCAGTGTTGCTAGTAGGGCTGGGCAATATAATGACTATGTACAATATATCAGTATATTTTCAAGCAAGAGCTGCTCTTCTGTTTAATCTGTCTGTTAATTAGTCCACAGTGTGACTTTGGTCTATATGTTGAACATGCTACTCTAAATCAGTCCATGAGATGAATGAAAGTATCGCAGCACACGTGCAATCCAGAGCTGTGCTGCTATTTTGTGTGTGGGGTGGATGATAGAGCGTTGCTGGTAGTTGTAGCCTATTTTGTGACATGGAGACAGCGTCTGGATGCAGGCAACAGATCTGTTTAAAAAATGCAGCGACAACATAGACTCCTTCCCTCCCTCTGCCTCTCTGTTGATGCCATGTGCATAAATAAGATTAACAGCCTAAATAAATAAAAAGATTTAAATAATTTTCCAGCACTAGATTCATTTGAGAGGCCATGGAAAATAACTTTTTAACTCTCCCCCACAAGATCTGTGGATTACCTTGAGTAACCGGGTCATTAAATTTGAGTTTGGGCGCTTTGAGCACCACAAGCCGAGTGCCACCTAGTTCCATTATATTCAAGAGAAGGCAGACATCTATGGCTCATATCTCCAACACTCAGTAACTCGTACCAAAACAATCTAGACTGATAAATAGCACCAGAGGTAAAAGGAAAAATATGTGTTTTCTTTTTTAGAGTGAAATGTCCCTTTAATGATTGATGTTTATAGGAATGTTGCTGAAGCATACTCACTGATAATCAATTATTAGTGACTGCTGTGACACCTTAATTTGAATGTGGCAAAGACGACTACCCACTTGTCACCATAATAAATTCTATTTTAAAGCTGCTATAATTGTAGCAAACCCCAGCCACAAAGTGATAAAGTGCACTGTCTTCAAAAGTCTTTAATTATGTTACGCTATCATCCATATTTGAACACCACCCTTAACTCCTTTTCCTCAGAAAACACTGTAAGAGCTTCAGAACACACACAAATGAATAAAATGAGCTTGTACCCACCTGCAAACATCACAACCATTATCCTATAACTACCATATTAAATATATATATGAGCATTAATTACAACGCTACCTTCATATACACACGTAAAACTAGACAGCCCATATCACCATAACATATTTAATTAATCCAGAAGCTAATTTCAGCACAACTGCTACTGCAACACTACATTCAAATTCTTTCTCACTCTTAAGCAAATTGATATATCACCGTATATTATCATGAAACATATCAAATATCACAGTACATTATACAAGAACAAGAGCTTGATTATGCAGCGCAAAGTAGCATGGTTCTCCCTCCTTTGCACTCAAACTTGTTCTGTATAAGTGTCCTGTTTCTGCAAGGAGAAGCTGTCAAAATAAAGGTCCCGTAAGATCGAAAAGGGAAAAGGGGACTACCAAAATAAAGGCTTACAAGAAGTAATTGACAGACTTTAATTTGCCTTTTGAAGTCATTTACAATAATCAGTGATGGATCAAATAACTACATGTATGTTAATGAGGCTGCCCGTGGTGATGCACCAACAGAGAATTATTACCCAGCACTGCGTGTGTCTCCCACGGCTCTACAGTGTTTGAATCAGACGCAGGGCAGACTTTATAAACTGAGAACCTATCCTTTGATGTACACTCTAATAAATGTTGCATATTTTTCATTCTCAGGATCATTCATGAAGATGGCTACTCAGAAGATGAATGCAAGCAGTATCGAGCAGTGGTTTATAGTAATACCATCCAGTCTGTGATGGCCATTGTCAAAGCCATGACCAGTCTCAAGATAGAGTACAGCAACCCTGGCAGAGTGGTAAGATGCACAACAGCCCTCAGAAATTTGTTACAGCATGGGATTTCTGCACATATAGCTACTTGTTTTTGTACTCCAAAAATCTAACATCTGATGGCACAAGCACAGGTTAACCCTATGGGCCCGAACGACGCATAGTGTGTCCAAATTCACACCTGTTCTTCTCTGTTGATTTTCTCCGAGACCGTGCGTCATAGCAATAAGCCACACATATCACGTGAAACAGCGGAATTGTAGCTTTCCGACGAGGCCAATCACTTGTCGGTAGTCCAATGTTTTCATAGCGAAAAAAAAATGATAAAGTTACACTAAAATTATGTATAACAGAGCTTTCATACAGCTCTGCACACACATTACTCTTGGATGGATTTCTCGCGAATGCAGGGTCGCACAGAAATGCCACGCATATCACATGAAAGCGCAGGAGCAGAGCTTTCTGAGGATACCGCACACATCATTGTGCTGTCATCCCATCATGCTATAAATCCAGATTAATTGTCTACAAAACAAAAACCTGACGAATTTCTTTACAACCCATTATACAGATCTTGTTATCAGTCACTTCATATAGTGAGGAATATCATATCTTACCACGTCTTAGGCTTGCGTGCGTTTCTCCCTGTCTATCCACATTTGTAGTCCGGCTTTCAAGATGCAAATATGTCCATATTGTCCAGCTGACACTCCATCAAACTTTGTATGACAAGACCAGCCACTTCACCTTTGCGCACAGACAACTGCAGCCTAATTATGCATGCTGACAGGGCTGGGGGACATGTGTCCCCCCCCCCCCCCCCCCCAATGCCCAAAATGCCCCCCAATATATAACTGAAACTGAAAAACAACAACAAACTTTGTTTACTGCAAACAAAGTGGCAAATATTATCTTGGAGGACATCATTGCACTTGGTTGACTATTTTTCTATGATCTTAGATGTAAATATTGCATGTTTCTTTCAGATAAAACACATTTTTGACTTGTGAATGAGTCAATGGAATTTCTTGCAATAATGAAAAAATACTGGCAATCATTTTCCGCCTGGCACAAACCACATATTTTGGACAGCTGTGAAGTGACAGAATGTCCCACCATCATGGTTCTTATATTGCCAGATTCCAGAGAGTCTCCCCTCTTCATATATGGCAGAATATGTAATTTTCCAACTTGCTATGGTGAGATACATGTAAAAATGTAAGAATTTAGTCACACGGATTTGTTTTTTTCATTGATATAAAAATTAATATAAAATACAGGCACATAGAAGGACATGTAATGATGGCAAATCTGGTTAGCCCAGATTGTCCTGAAAAAAACAAGATATAGCATGTGTATGTAGCCTTAATGACTGTGATATGAGCTTAGAAGTAAAGGCAGTAAAAATACCCCAAAAACGCCTAGGGCCCATAGGGTTAACCACAAGCAAGAAAAACTCATGCACAAGACCAGTCACATATGTGGCGCAAATATGCAGAGATAGTTGCTGAAAGTCAGTGCTTTTATCGGAGTGAGAGCAGAAAGCTGACCAGCCAGAAAAATAATTGTCACTGTGTGAAAATGCAGACTTAAATTGGCCTTACTAACCGTGGACAGATCAGGATCTCCCCCCAGGCCACAACAAAGCAAAGCTTGTTTTATCAGCAGCATCTTGTAGTTATATATCTGATGCAGTCCTTAAGACTGTTGCTTGCCCAGAATTGAAATCACAAGAGTCTGCCTTTGTTTCTACAACACACTGTGTCCCTTTCACTTTTCTCTCCAGCTTAGAATAATAATGGAAGCAAAACCCAGCCGCATGCACTGCCCATTATCTCTGAAACAAACATCCTACTCCCTCACATATCTGTATTCCAGTATAACCCAGTGAACCGAGATTATTTCAAGGCTGTGATGCCTCTGGGAAAACAGGTTTGTTTCTCAAATCATGCCTCCTCTCGGCAAGTCTTGTTCAGTCAATAAAGCTGGGCCAAAACCAAACGCTGCATCATGTGATTTCCAGCATTCACCTGTTCAGCCCTTTTTCAGCTGTAGAAACCGCTGCTGGTACTAGAAACTAGAACACAGTGTAGAGCCTCTCTGATCCATCTCTGTAACCTGCAGGGAAAACGGTCCTTGTCTTATACAGACTTCACCTCCTCCATCTTTGATCTACTCTCTCCTTAAAGTTGTAATAGACAGAGAGAGAAGAGGCTGCAAGTGTGCATAATACCAGCAGCCACAGCGGCACTGAGGGCTGTTTTGGGGATTGGATTTATCCTAAAGTGCTTGCAAGACACATTTTGAAAGCACATTTAGTTTTCCAGGTGCTCTCTGCAGCCCCAGCGGTGACACAAATGAATTCCTTGTTTTGAAGGCTACAACCTGTGAAAGGAAGACCTTACAGGTGGCCAAGAATCGTCTGGTTTCTGTTTTTTAAACAACTGCAATTCATCATTTTATGTCTATTTTGTATGTCTGTTTCTCATTTTTGTCTGGACCAACATCCCAGACCTCCCAGCGACCTTTTGCTAAACCTCTGCCTTGAACAGCCATTGTTTAATCATAGCTTAGCAACTCTAACTGGTCTCATCAAGTCTGTCAAGGTTTGGATTTCTCCACTTGAAGCAGTGTTCATTTGGACTTCAGTAAGTGAGACTGTGGAGGGTGGTGTCTTTTTCAGCCTTTTAAAGGTGCATTGAATGTATTAAACAGTGCTTTTATTTGCTACAATGTAAGACGCAAATGTTAGCATCTCTGATTAACTCTTACTGTCGGTAACCAAGTGTTATTTCCAAGGCTGAAGGCCGAGGCACCAAACTGACATTAAAGAACTAGTGGCAATGAAGGCCAACTGTTGCATCACCTCACATTGCCTGTTGCAGGCAACAGACAACTAGTATGTACGTTCTGTGCCTGTGTGAGAGGAAACAACTCTCCAGACCAACAGGTGAAGGTAGTCTGTATTCGTCATTCAAAAAGGGAAACCAGAAGTCCAATAGGACAGATTTAGGATGCTAGCCAGCCAGTTATCACAAACCAATTTTAAAAGGACAGAGGATATTTACCATGCTCCAGCGAACAGCAACACAAACAAAAACCATTTCAGCTAAAGAGCTCAATGGCTAAAATATTTTTCTTACTAATATAACAATATTTCGATGTCACGCCCTCTTGACTTCAGTCATTTGTTTGCTCTCCTCACTTCGATTTTTCTTCTTATTCATGGAGCTGAACAACTAATCAGAGGGATTTAGCTCACAAACAGGCTCCCTCAGCTCCACTGCCGATTCAACATGCTGATTTGGCCGAAAAACAGGTGACAATGGCTGACTTCTGCCAACAGTTTGGGACACACCGCAAAAACCAGGGCCACAGATGCTCACAGAAGACCCGACAGTGACCAACAGCCAACTGTCGGCGTGGTTTGTCAGGGCCCTCAGAATTGAATCATCAACCAACTGCATTTCAATCAAGAGAGTCAGATGAATTAAGTAAAGATAAAGTTTAAACAGATTAACAGATGGTTTGAGCTGATTAAGATTTAACAGAAGACTTTGGCGCTTGGACACCGATCACATTTTTTGTGATTGAGGGACATCTGAGCAGCAGCAGATAAATCCCCCATTGAGTTACTGGTGGAGGTGGTGGTGGCTGATGACTCTGAGGCTGATGGTGGATGAGGCTGATGAATCCGAGAAGGAATTAGGCAGTGATGAGGGAGATGGAGGTTGCTCACGGCTACAGCATGAAAGAACCAAGGCAGAAAAAAAACATGTTTTAAATCTGATGACTCAGATGACAGCCTGGGATAATGACAGCTAGAAATGGTGACTGGGCATGCATGCAAGGAGTGAACAGCAGAAAGTATGGGAGATAAATTAGCGAAAACTAAAGAGTGTTTTCAACTAACTGATGGAGTGAACATTAGCTTAATGAGTGAGCTATAGCTGATAACAACTGCCTGCTTTACCTACCTGTTACCTATACCTATTATCTACCTATTTCTGAAATCAAGGACACAGTGTTTCAAAAATTCTGAAACATTGTAAACTGTGTTGCTTCATGAGAATTAAATGACTGACAGGCATAGCAACAAGTAACTAATGGGGTTGGGCTTTTAGCAGCCAGTCAGTTTGTATCAGGCTCAAGCTCAGAGGTAGAGCAGGTCATCCGCTAATCAGAAGATTGGCAGTCCGATCCCCGGCTCCTCCAGTCTGCATGTCGAAGTATCCTTGGGCAAGATACTGAAGCCCAAATTGCTCCTGCTGGCTGTTCCATCAGTGTGTGAGTGTGTTTAAAACTGAATAGCAGGTGGCACCTTGTTGCCTCAGCCAGTGTGTGACTGTGTGAATGGGTGAATGTGACATGTAGTGTAAAAGTGCTTTGAGTGGTCGGAAGACTAGAAAAGTGCTATACAGGTGCAGTCCATTTTCACATTCATTGATTTAAGTTTCTCTGACACACAGATTTTCATAATTTCTTTTACTTTATATGATTTAATTTGTTATTCTTAGAAGGGACAGTGTACATCAATCCACATTAAAACAAATATAAATCTGCCTGAGTTAGCTGAAAAGCTGACTTTGGGTTAATCCTTTGGTGAGCATTTGTGATTATTTTTGACATTTTATAAATTAAATGCATAATCAAAACAATTTGACCAATCAGTAATGAAAATAATAATTAGTTGCAGCTCATATGGACATAAACTCATTCATTTAACACATACAGAGAGACAGACACACCCTGCACACAGACACATGATGACACACACCACTTTCAACAGCAAGCCACAGCGTCAGGCTGAAATGCAGTCGGCTGCACCCTGTGAACACTTATCAGCCTAAGAACAAGCTGTCAGTGAGGTCGAACAGTGGCTGAACTCACTTCAGTGGAGGAGTGTGTGTCAGTGTGATTTGGCTGTGAAGCCAGTGCATGTGTGTTGTAAGTGAAGCTGTAATAAAAGGATTGAGGACTCCGCTGTGGTCATTAGAGCGGGATAGATAGACTCTTTTTTTCCCTCTGACAGATCTGTCAAATGGCTGTATGTACGTGACGACACTTACAGACTCCCACACATGGCAATTAGAGTGCTAGCCTGCCCGTACTTGCACACTGCAGCCCTGTAGAAGTACACACACACAGAGATTGTGCATGTGCACACATACGCATACACATGCAGATAAAAATGTGCGTAAATGAAACTAAAGCATGTGCAAATAATACACATTGTTTGTCGTTTAGTTCTGTTGAGGGAAAAGGAAGAGTTCAAGCAAATAGTATCACATTCCCAGAGATAAAATGCTGTATAAATCAATTGTGATCCAGTAGCTGAACTTAAAATGCATATCTTTTGATGATGGTGTGTAAGCTCAGCAGTCACTGCAACAAAATACCACTAGAATTAAACAAAATTATAAAACAACAATAAGAATATTTGTCTTTTTTTAAACATTGTAATGCAAGCACAAAAACCCAGTAAACTGAACTGTTATCTTCCTTGAAAGGTAATGGAAAGAAGTGGTGATTGATGCCCACGAATAACAAGGTAAGTAAACATCAATCGGCTGGAGAGAATCCATTAAAAAGTATAAAAGCACAGCTACCCACAAAGGGAGCGTGGATGTATTCGCAGCCTGACAGGGAAGCAGGTTGAGACGGAGATTAATTTCTCCTCAAATGTGACAAATACACACAGTAAACACTGGGAAATGTATTCATTGTGAATCATTCCTTTATTTCAGTGACGACTACATACATATTCATAATCGTCGTACACAGAGAAACAGCCTATCCTGCAGCCAGATACTGGCCAGTGATTAATCACCGTTTTTTGTATTCAGTCATTCATTGTGAATAAAGCTGGGAGAGGACTGTTTATTTCATTCCAACAGGAAGATGGAAAAATTCAGAGAACCAAGCATGGTGGCAAACAGCAGGAAATCAAACCACACTCTGTCATAGCAGCTCCGCATGCTGTTACCTTGAGTCACACCAACATATCTTACATGTGCACAGCCCATACTGGCTGGCACCAGTGATATCGTCACATTGTATTGCTACTATTGTAACCTATTACCTACCTACTATTTCAGAGACACGGCCCTCCATCACTAAACATTATTTGTTTTGTTGGGGGGTTTTTTTGGTCATTTTTCACTGGGTCAAACAGATTTACTTTAATGTAGACCCCTTTAAGCTTCCATGATGTATTAATAATAGTGCCCATATCGCCATAGGTACACAAGCATACCTTATCACGGGGCCCCTAAACTGGGATTTATACTAGTGCACCCGCTCTATGCAGAGCCTACGCTGTAGCCTATGCAAGTGGCCTACGCTGTTGTCAGCATTTATAGTTGTGCGGTGGTTTGTCTGCTGCAGTTACACTTCCAAAACACTAGTCAGCGTCAGGGTTTCTGTGAAGTGCTGAAAAGTTTAGTTGATTCAAAACCAAAACACCTATCCCTAACCCAAAACACACATAAAACATGGCTTAATGGCGACAGTTTCAAATTGGCTTCACTATAACTCGCAGCTTTCACAGACAAAGCATTGGTCTTTTGCTGGACACATTTTCTCCACAAATACAACATGCTAAAATGCTAAATGCTAAAAACCCATGCTTAAAGGATAGGTTCACATTTTTTTTAAGTCTGTCTTAAAATAATACTCACTAGCCCATAACCACATAGAAGAGTTATTGGTTGCGGTAGTTGTTCCCCCTGTCCACACTGACTGCATAAAAATGTCATGTGATAGGAATTTCAATATAAGAGATGCTGCAAAAATGCTTTTTAAAGTAGAGCCAAAGCTAATATGAGGCTTCGTTGGTCTTTGTTAGACAAATAAAGTGGATGTCTTCCAAAGTTTACAAACCCTTGCAGTAAACATGTAGGCATGTGAGTGTTGCATTAAGATAGACGTGTATATATGCTGATGATGCATTATTGTCATTTCAATCCATAAACAGATCTATGCAGTGGATACAGACGATCTAAGAGTTTTCATGTATGTTGTGGTAGAGATGCTCTCATTGTAACTGTCCTGTCCTGTGTCCTTATCGCCCCCTGCAGGACGATGCCCAGCAGCTCTTCGCCCTGTCTGCAGCTGCTGAAGAACAGGGCATCTTTCCCGATGACCTGTCCAACGTGATCAGGCGATTGTGGGCCGACAGTGGCATACAAAGTTGCTTTGCACGGTCGCGAGAGTACCAGCTCAACGACTCCGCAGCATAGTGAGTGTAAATTTATCTGCAAATTTGATGCTGTCATGCCACTTAGGAGTCAAATACATCTATATTTTTGTAGAATAACTCCAGTTCATTACAGTGTTACCCTCCAACTGTGTGCTGGCTTGTTTACATCTATGGTTTTTCATACTCACTTTTTGCTAGAGACCACCATGATACAGCAATCTGCACCTTAAAGCGAACATTGGACAAGGGCATAAAGAGGGGGGTCTATGGCCCCTTCCCTACTTCCTGTCCCACTACTTCAGGTCCCTTGCTTGGACCACACCCATGTTCAACTCTGCCTTCATTTTGATCTCAATTACACAATCATTCATCGCAAAGTAGTTGCGGCTGGTAAACATTCAGGCTGTCATTACCAATGTTGTCCCTACATCTTCTTCTACTTTTAACATTATGCAGTCTGCTCCTGCACACACCGGACTCTGTGTTTCACCACTATAAATGTAAATGTGGCCAAGTGGGGAACCTCAAAGCTACCAGCCAAATGTGTTCCGTTTTTCATCCTGTATACCTGCTTGTTATTCATATGCGAAAATAGTTTTGCAGCTGAAACACTGCGTTGAAACATTATTTTAATAGGATAACAGACTCAAGAAAGTGACAGTGAGAAAGGCTAAGTGTTTGTATTTGGTTCATGGTTTTGCTGATTAATCTTATGTTGTTGTCATATAAAAGCCGGTTTAATATTCCTGCCATTAGGGATGCTGTTCTCTTGGTGCTGTGATGGATCTAATGATGCAGTCCTTTCAGCCTCTCTCACATGCGCCGCAGCGAACAAACCTGTCTTTAACTTCTCTGGGGAGCCACAGAGACTGGAAAGATAGTCCAATAACTTCCATTTAGTGCTTATTTCTGCCTCTCTGGGTTTGATGCTTTAATATTGTAACCGAATAAGCAGAGTACTGAGTAGTTTGTCTTGAGGGATGAAAACATTGCATTAGCTTCCGAGTAGCTATGAGAATTGATAGCTGTGATAATAAAAGTCCCAAGTGACAACTCTGTTTTTGTAGGAATTTGGTTAATTTTGTGGCAGTGCTGTATAAAAGTAGAATATAAACAGAATATGTATATATACGACTGCTATAATGAGACAGAACAATGTTTTTATTCACTTAAATAAGTCTGTAAGGTTTGTTGGCTCATTAATAATTATTCTGTGGATGTGACACACATGAATAATGAAATCTGTACAAGTGTAATGCTGGATATATATCTCTCTATGCCTGTGAAGCGAAGGTTGGCTGGGCCACTTAAGCTCCCAGCTGGCCTTAGATGATGATGCAATGCTTGTGTAAGTGGAGCAGGTTGTGTCAAGCATGGTGAAGATGCTTCCACACTCCCCTACTGACCAACAGTCTGTCAGAAAACAGAGAAAAGGCAAAAGGGGACAGAGGGAGAGTGAGAGTTGTGAATGGAGCACTGGAAAGAGAGCGAAAATGAAACAAATGCAACTAGCTTGATGGACTGAGAGAGGGAGATGACCTACTGTCTTTTTCCTTTGTGTGGATGTTGTGTATCTCTGAGTTGAATCCACCCTGTGAAATGCTCCTTTCAACACTTTTTAATTGCTACATATTGCAAGTAGCTAAGGCCCCATTATCTCACTGTTAACACTGATTTGAAGCTGTGTTGATCACTGTGGAATTTTGTATTCAAACAAAAATCATAGTAGGGAATATATATCGGACGATAAAGCGAGGAATCTCTGACGGTCTGTCTGTCCTTCGCATATCTCGAGAACCACTCATCTGATCTGGTGGGTGTATTGCTGGGGACCCAAGGATGTGCAATGTCAAAGTTGGACATGCGACACATCCAATATTAATAAACTTTGAATAAACAAGTGAACAGAGCTCTGGGACTCTGTGCAGCAGTGGAAGCGGGGCTTTCAGGCTGAGTCGAGTGTGTCTCACTAAGTGTATTTCACCTCTGTTTTTGACTGCGAGTAGCTGTGACTTGGGTGCATTGCCAAACTAATTTATGACACTTATAATGTTACTGCTGGCAAAATACCTCTACTAATTAAACCAATGCTCTACTTCATAACCCCAGTGGTTATGTCAAAACAATAACACACCTTTTTGGAAATTAATAACTGGAACATCAACAGTAACAAGTCTCTATCGGGTAAATATGTTAGTAGGCTACAATGTTTTCTCTTAAGGTAAGTAGACAGTAATAGCTAAACTATTAATATCGCTTAGTATTTTTATATTTTTGTTTAGCCTTTCTTTAACCAGGTTTGTCCCATTGAGATCAAAAATCTCTTTTACAAGGGAGACCTGGCCAAGAAAAGCAGCAACACAGAGTTTCAACAACAAATAAAATTTACATAAAAGCACATAGATTTGAGTAGCATAAAATGGTCGAAGAAAACAGTTGCACACTGACAGCCTGAAAGAGAAGAGAGAAGATAAGTAGGTACAAATTTAAGCAACAGTAGCTTTGTAAATAAAACCATACCAGTGACTAAGGCAGCATGTACATAAAGAGGGCCAATTTACTTTTGGCATAAAACACAATGGTGAGTAAGAGATCCACAGTTTGTAGTGAATCTCTGAGCCCCATTATACACGCTATCCAGCATGTGAGGACAGTGAGCAGAGGCATTTATATACAACACATTACCATAATCCATGACAAGTAAAAAGGTAGACTCCACCAATTGCCATTTGACACAAAAAGAAAAGAACGACTTGTTTCTAAAGTAATAGCCAAGTAAACACTTAAACTTTTGTAATATCCATTAAAAACCCTTGGTATTTAAAGTAGATACCAACTCAATTTATTGAGCACTTCTGATAACAGTTTTCTTGGACAATTCTGAATTTACTGGTCTTCAAATAAAAACACATGAAAAACATATGTTTTATTTTTTCTGGACAAGTTGCAGCTGACAAAGCTGTTCTTGTACTCTATCAAATGCATACTGAAGATTTTCAAAAGCCTTAGCAGGGGTGGGTCTAAAGCAATAAAAGACAGTGTCATCAGCATAGAAATGAAAGCCAGAGTAAAAGTCCTTAATTCAAATTTCTGCTTAAATTGAGTGTACACTCTAAGATTTTGATTCATTCTCTGACCAGACTAAAATGCAACATCTGCTGGGAGAAAATAGTGTCAGTGCCATAGATGCAGAGAGATATGTCAATGCATGTCACAGCCTAAGAGACAACCGACACAACAACATATAGTTCATCTCATCACAGATCACAGTCTGCCTTATTTACTCCTTCACTTAATACATTTTCTCCTTAAAATGTATGTCTCAGCATTTGTAATAATACATTGTTGTTAAGTTTTTTTGGTTTTCACTGTCTTAAATTGTAATTGTGCTTTAGCAACACATTAGAAATGTCATGCCAATAAAGTTTGTTGAATTTAATTAAGAGGAATTATCAGCACAGTTTAGTTACATTTGCTTCGCATCTGTTAAAGGTGAAGATTTCAATTCTAATATAATGCAGGATAGTGTTTTGTTATGTTTAGTGAGTAATATTTTAATCTGCATTGCAACCAGTAACATGTCTCTAAATGTAGTATTTTTTCTTCTCTGAAGCAGAAGTAGAAGTAGGCTACACAAAAGCATATTGATGAGTTGCATTTCTTGCTTTGTGATTTGTGGACCTTTTGTACATTATTTCACAGTACAATGAGAATAGCAACATAATTCAATATTTTTTTCATATATAAACATAATAAATTTAAAGCTGTTTTGAGCCAAGGTGTATATGGCTCAGGGCTTAAGGAAGTGCAGTGTTGAGAGTGAAGCTGTTTGTATGAGCAGCTCTCGAGAATGCTGCAAGCAGCAGTACCACAGGCCAAGCAATCAGCTCATTCTAAAAGGCATGTGTTTGAATGGGCACTGCACCAGTATGTATTAATTGCACTAATATAATCTGTCATATTCAACAAATTGGAGCAGATCAGTAAAGAATATTCATGTTGCCATAGAGATCCTCCCACTAAGGAGAGCACATAGTACTACTGGGTCTAGTGGTAATCCCTCAGTGGTCTCACAGACATTTCAGTCAGCCATTTCACATGGGGATTTATGTGGATACAGAGTATGTGCAGAGTTGATATTCAGCAGCCACGCTCTGACCCCATCTCACTCCCCACAAGCATACACCAAGCAAAGCACAGACTGAAGATTGGAGAGTGACAATAAAACTTTCCCCCACAGTAAAACTGTATTAGATACGGAGCCTTACACCAGGTGTTATATCTACTGCAGGAGATGTGATATATAGTGGACTGAGATGGAGAAATCGAAACCGAGCAAAACCACCAGATATGCAGCAGCAGCAGCATAGGACATCAGCTATGCAGTAAACAAAATTTAACTCCACCATTAAATCCATGAAAATATATGGTTTAAATCGAGCAGCCCAATAGTTTTTTAAGAAATGTTTGTAGCGTTGAGAGGTAGCAGTTGGTTGGCAAGGAGTGCAGCTGAGAGTGTGGCAGAAGTGTAAACAATTTCAGCAATTTAAATGTACTGATTCTGTGAATAGTAATGCAGTGTGGATGTGTGGATGATTGCGTACAGTAGCTTGTGTGTGTGACACAAGCCACGGTGAGTTGGAACCGAGGCCACTACTGGCCCACACGGAAATAATAAGGTGAATGTGCTGCATGAGAGTCGACAGTGATGCCTACATCCCCAGAGCCAGTGTGCAATATCTGTCTGCAGTGAGCCGTTATGAAACCCCTTCAACAACAGTAACAACCAAGGGAGAAGTATGTTGTAAAACCAATTGAGCATATGCACTCATGATACTCAAACACAAGTATATCATCACTATGTAAATCAACAGCGCAAAAGCATTAAAGAAAAATCCTCTCTGGTAAATTTCTCAGGTGAAATACATTCACAAGTCAGCCAGCAGTGCAGGTGGGAAGAGTGACAGTGACTCAGACTGATGTTAGCAAGCACAAGTAGCAAGTATTGTGAAGTGACGTTGTGATTAACAGCATCTCAGACAAAAAAAACCTTTGGAAGAGGCCATGGTCCAAAGCTGCAATCAACAGGACAGGACAAAATTTTGCTTCCAGTTATAAGTGCACATTTCGATAGCCATCCTGAAGTGCCATAACTGGTATGCTGGCCAGTGATCTTAACCAGTGAAAAGCAATGAGCAGTAGCAGCTAGCAAATAACAGTGGGCAGGGCACTAATAGTTTTAATAGACTGCCTAATAACGAAGGGTGCATTGGATATGTGTGTCAGCAATCAGAGCATGTCGTTTAAGTAATCTGCAAAATGTCCCATTGGAACAAAAGCCCATTTGTCCAACAGCCTGTTATCCTGAAAACAAATGCCCATTGCTCCAAAAATACACTCTCACCATGGCCTTTAAGCAGTTGGCCCTGCTGCGATACATTTCTTCTACTGTGGCAAAGACGTGACCCACCCTACTCTGCCTCAGATTGGCTTACCTGGATTTTCTAACCCTAACTATAGCCAGTCTCACTGATCGTGGCTTAACCTCACCAACTCAACGAACAGAGGTAACGAATACTAGCCAATCAGAGGCAGGGTGAGTAGTAGTAGTAAAAAGTAGTAGAAAAAATTGGTATTGGTATCTAGGAAGGTCCCTTATAGACAGAATTGCCTTCTGTTCCTGTGCGGTAGTTAGCAATGCTAGCATCATATATCAGTGTCTTGGTGTGTGTAGAAGTCCAAGCATGCAGCCGTGGTCATAGTCAAAGTGGTTAGTGGACATTTTTATTATAACAATGTATCAAATGATAATATGAAAACAATGTGGCAATGTAACAGGAGTCCCCTTAGAATCATCATCTGAATTTGCAGCTCCTCTCCTCCTTTTAAAGTTTGCCATATCAACCTAGAATATGATTATACTAAACTATCTATCATCCCCAATTAGTCAAAACAAAATTGTTTATTTCAGTTTTAAGTAAACCTGATTTACTCTAATCACCGTTTGGAGCCGCATTTCTGGAACGATTGCAATTGATGTATTGGAGTCTAACTGCGTAATGCATTCGGTCATAACTTAATTATTCCAAGGCCTTTGCATAATCCCTTAAAAGGCACTTAAACAGGCTAATGAAAGCTATCAAGTAAAGTTTTATTGTGTGTTATTGAATGCAGCAGAATATGACTCACTCTACAGAATGTTCACTAAATGGCTCAAGTTCATTACAGTTCAAGGCAGTTCAGTGAAATGCAAACTGTTTAGTCTGATGTTAATGCATCAGACGTGTGTGTGTGTGTGTGTGTGTGTGTGTGTGTACATGTGTGTGTGTACAGCCTGTTTGTGCCTCTTCTCTGCAGGTTGAAATCTCTTTCTTTCTCTCTCTTTCAGTTACCTGAACGACCTGGAGAGGATAGCTAAAGCAGATTACATCCCCACCCAGCAGGATGTGCTGCGGACTCGAGTCAAGACCACTGGCATTGTGGAGACTCACTTCACTTTCAAGGAACTGCACTTCAAGTAAGGCCATATAGCACTGACCTTATATCAATGTTTATGGACATCAGATACTTTAAAAATGAAAAATAAATAAATAAATTTATGAGAAAAACGCTGCCATCTGCGCTCTCGCCCTGTCTGCCTTCTATCAAAACAGTCGCTTTAGCCATTTGCAACCAATGTGAGAGTCCAGGGAACTCTTAGCAACTCACCCACAGTGAGAGGGTGTATTTTGACATTAAGTAACCTGAGTGGCAATATGACCACCTTGTATTCACTCATCTCTGATGCAGTGTTATTTGGTGATACATAAAATCTACCAGTTGTCAGTTTGTCTTACGAGCCACACAAGAGCACAAGAAACATGACCAGTATTGAATGAAATATAACTGTCCTTGGGGCTATTTTGGGAGAGCAGTGAGACAAAAACGCGCCTCAGATGTTAAAGTATATGCAGGCTGCACATCATATGTTTCTTTTTATTGAAGCCCCGTCAGTGTAAGCAGTGACATCACTGTACCAGCCTCCTCCACACCTTCTCTAAACAAACTGCTAGACTTTATCTCAACATAAATAGCATCAAGGAGCGACTGACCCTGCTGGCTTGAAATGTGCAATACAGCTACTCAGAAGCCAAATTATAGCAGCAATTAAAAACTTAATTATCATGATTTCACTCTGAGCTGAGTAAATAAATTAGATTCCGCCCATTGTGTGCTTGTTCAGTACAACTGGAGCTTTATGTAGCGCTAACATTCGAGTGTGTCTTCCATGGAACTGTAGGTCTTACATAAAATGAGCACTCATGTGTGGGATATTAATGGATGTACAGGTATACCTCTTGATAGAGGATGTGAGAGAGATACAGTAAGTGCTTTAAAATCTTATAACAGGGAATATATTAGCAGATCAAAGTCAGGTATTCTGTATAGGTGAATTTATAAAATGTGCACATATCTCCGTTTCTCTTTTTTAGGTATCAAGCAGTGTATAAAATACCCGTCACTTTGTGAAGCACCGAAAGAGATCTGCAGCCACATGGCTCTGGTGTGACCTGTTTCCTGATAAACTCTCTGATATTTACCCTCTGTCACAGCCTCAATATTTGGCCTGAATAAAACATGGAGGCAATCAATAAGAAGAAAGTCACGTTTTTATAATTCTGTCCTGTTTGCCATAATAAGTACAGACAGGAAATACTTAGATACAGAGAAGTGTCGTCTTTTGACAGTGGCGTAATTTAGATTTGTTGAAATGGTGCGTCTCATGAGTCTTCTAACCTCAGCACCTCATATTTACCTTCTGTATCATCACAATATGGCAGCTGTCCTGGATGTGGTGGACTGTCGTTGCTTCAGCCGTCTTTAGGCCCAGCTCAGACCAAAGATTCGCGATGAGACGAAACCGTTTTAGAACGTTGAAGAGAAATGTTGCAGTGGTGTGAGCTGGCTGCAATGAGCTCGATTCAAGACAGCTGATGTGTCACCTGCAGCTGCACTGGTCAAATCGCCAGCGGCTGGTTTTAGAGCGTAAAACACATCGCCTGTTTCTGCAGCCAGTCGGCTTGTAGTGAAGTCCACTGGTCAAGTCATAATGAGCGCAGACGGCGTGTTGGCTTGCTGCGGCAGGTGCTCTGTCCCCGTCAAGCTCGCTATTTCCATCCTCTTACTGACTAACTAATTGGTGCTGCTTACTTATACTATTGTTGTGTATTGATTATGAATAGAGTCCATCTGATGCTTGTTTTGTTTATGTTTTTCGCCGTTGCATCACTACTACAAATGCAACTGTAGCCAGTATCTATCATTATCATCACTATCCTCATTCATATTCTAAGAAGCTACAAATTATATTCAGCCACAAAATTAGCCTGAATAGCTGGAAATCAAAATGGAAGTACAGAGTGTTGTTGCATAGTGATGATACACCATCTCATCTAGTTGCATTGATGTGAACCGGCAGGTTTTTAGAACCTTTGCAGAACGACACATTGCAAGTAGTTGCATGTTTCAACTCATCTCGTCTTTTTGCGAATCTTTGGTCTGAACTGGACTTCAGGGTTTTGCTCACACCTCTAAGGCGCTGTTCAGACTGCCAGTCAGAATCAATTTGTTTGGCATATCCAGTTTGTATCCAGGTAGATTTTAAAAAAGTCTAGACAGCAAAAAAAAACACATGAATGCAGATCTTAACCACATTTGGAGGTGGTCTGAAATGCAATTCCAATCGTACTTCTACGGATGCGTCTCAGTCCGGACACTGTGGTGCTCAAATCAGATCTTTACGTGTCTTTTGTGTCACTGAAGCAGAGTTTTCCAGCTGAGCTGCAAGTGCGAGTCTGCGTAACCTGTTGTGCCATTCAGACGAGTGTGATCATATCCTTTTTAGAAGCTTTGTAATCCTTACTTTACCTTTGTTTAACCAGGAAGTCCCACTGAGATTGAAAATCTCTTTTACAAGATAGACCTGGCCAAGGTAGCAGCCAATCAAAACACATTAAAATGCAACAAATACAATATATGTAATACAACTATCCACTGTAAAACAGCAACTATTTAAACATAGTGGCCTCTCAAGAAAAACAAGCACACGTCTCTATCACCACATTCTTTATGATGCCCTCAAATTCATCAGTGGATATAAGTGGATCTAATTTTATATCTAAATGGAGACTTTGGAAAATAAATCCATAATGATAAGTTCAACGCCCACTCCTTCTACGTCTTCTACTCACTACTGTGATTATTCATCCATTTTTCTGTTGTAAACAGTCATTGTTGTTGTTAGCCTCCATTTCGCATGCTTTACCGTTTGCAAGCCGAATCACTACCGCCATATCGTCACCACAGCAACCCACGCAGACATGTTGTTGCTGCCTGGACACACAAATCAGATCTGATCACTTGCGATTATCAGTGTGGACAGCCGGTCTTAAAGATCTGATTTGAGAAACTGATTTGTCTGCAGTCTGAACATAGCCTAAGCATCTTGGATCACAGTGCTCAGCTTCCCCATTAGCTGGTGCTTTTATCCGAATACAGAGGCCTGCCTGCCTCTCGAAGCCCTGCACTGATGCCTGCAGTCTTTTATCAGATAGCCTACCCGACAGACATCTCTCCACCTCCTCACCACTTTCTTTCTCAAAGCAGCCTCATGAAAGCTTAATGTTCATCCAGGGATGGAATGTCACTCTAACTTTCTATTTCCTGCCCTCTTCACCGATATCCTTCCTGAACTGTCCTCTTCAGCACCCTGTTCTCTATCAGCTTCACCTTACTGTCTTTCATTGCGACCTTCTTTAGCCTGTGCACATGATGTGTCTCCTTTGCTTCATCCCCCTCTGCAGAATGTTTGATGTGGGCGGCCAGCGCTCGGAGAGAAAGAAATGGATTCACTGTTTTGAAGGAGTCACAGCCATTATTTTTTGCGTTGCGCTGAGCGCTTATGACCTGGTGCTGGCTGAGGATGAGGAGATGGTAAGGGGAAAAAAACACCCTCTGGTGTGTGTCTGTGTCTTTAGCTTTATGGATAATATAACTGTACTACGTTTATACATCTGCTCTTTGACTCATTTTCAGTATGAGTTAGTTTAGAGTGTAGGGCATTACAAAGCATTTAAATCATCTATCCCTCCTTTTATTATAGCCTAATAATATGAGCTCCAGGTGGTAAAATCGGCTCAGTGAACTTTAACGATCCATTTACAGTTGTACCAGTGGAGTGTACTTATGTAATAAAAGCTAATTTTTCAAATGATTTGAACCATTCGACCCAATTTCTTGAACTGCCTATGAATTTAAAGCAAGTGCTCAGGAGAGACAGCTTGAAGATGCTCTGAAGAGCCTCCTCTGCACTGCTATGCCTCACATTTAACATATTAAACAACATTGTCCCCTGGTGGCAGCTCTGATGTGTTGCTGTGCTTCAGCAGAGGCCTTAAAGGGCAACTTTGGTATTTCTCAACGTGGATCCTATTTTCCAACATTTTTATGTCTAATGACTAATAGGAACAACAATTTTTGAAGTACTGAGTAAGACTGCTGCAGCTGACAGCTGTAAAACAGGCTGCAATGTAACCACTCAGGGCATATTGTGCACAGTCAATGTATGTCCACTATAAGGGCTTGTTCTTGCCACTTACAGGCTCAGATTATTATTCTAAGTGTCCAACAGCATTATGGAAAGGATCCCTGTAAAGAAAGACCCTTTTAAATCAACCAGAAACCAAAAAAAACAGTAATTTTAGAGTTTATGCAGCCAGCATATTTTCACATCTAACTGGGTGAACTAAGTGTTAATTTCAACCAAACCAGAGTTTGCAAATTGTTGGCACAGTGGAAAGACGAACTAAAACAGCTTTTGTGAGATTTGTCGACTTCGAATAAAGTGCATTTTTTACGATGATACAATTACTGTTTATTAAAATTAAGTCTGGTGGGTTTGGCGATAGTGGTTGACCTCTATAGGGATCCTTTCCATAATGTTGTCAGACACTAAAGCCCTGTTTCCACAAAGCACTCCGGTTCAGTTCAGTACGCTTTTTCCGTTTCCATCATGAAAAGTTGTGGATGGTACCAGTGGAACTGTTCCATACCGTCCCCATTTTTGGTCCCCCCTCTGTTGGGGTACCTAGCACACAGACCTGGTACTAAAAGGTGGAGCTGTGAACACTGCAGTGTTGATTGGTTGATTGGTCAATAGCGGACGGTCACTCTGCTCAGGGCTGAATTGTGGCTTGCTATGTCGCTCAGTGCATGAGTTGACTTCTTCTTCAAGCTTTTATAAATATATAATAATTTCTATTGGATTATGTGAACAGCATATATCCCAATCCTCATTCGGAGAAAAAAAAATGCGCCACGCAGCGTCGTTCCTGTAGACTATGGCAACAATAAACCCCTGAGCTTGCCTCAGAGGGACTAAATGCACAAACCCCCTAATTTTTAAATATCCCATGGAGAGAGACTCTCACTGCAGCCTGTTCTATTTTGTTTTGAAAATGATGGCGTGCAGCCTCGTTCTGTGGATGATAAACGACATTCAGACTGATAAAAGAGGAAATACAGTGAGTGCTGGACGGAGCAGTGAGTGACAACAACCTCGCCCACTTGAAAGAGTACTTAGAGCGGTTGAAACTTTAGGGTCTAGGTACCATGTCTGAAGAGTTACTTTTGGTTCCAAAGGTACCATACTGAAAGTGTTAGGTGGAAACGGGGCTTTAGACAAACATGGGATGGAGGGTCCAGGTTGAAATAATCCCAAAGTTACCCTTTAAGCCGTGACCGACTTTGCTTTTCTTCAGAATCGAATGCACGAGAGCATGAAGCTGTTTGACTCCATCTGCAACAACAAGTGGTTCACTGAGACATCCATCATCCTCTTCCTCAACAAGAAGGATCTCTTCGAGGAGAAGATTACTCGCAGCCCTCTTACCATCTGCTTCCCAGAATACACAGGTACACAGTGCTTAAATAGTTTAACATCTTCTGTACAAACACAGACAGGTTGCTGTGCCTGCAGTCACCACACTGCCAGCTTACTAACAAATCGCTACATAACACCCTTAATCCGTCATCTTAATAACAAATCACTTCCTCATCTCTTCAAACTGTCACTTCCCAGGAGCCAACAAGTTTGACGAAGCCGCCAGTTACATTCAGACCAAGTTTGAGGACATAAAAAAAAAAAAGGAAACAAAAGAGATCTACACCCACTTCACGTGTGCTACTGACACCAAGAACGTGCAGTTTGTCTTCGACGCCGTCACTGACGTCATTATTAAGAACAACCTGAAAGACTGTGGTCTTTTCTAAAGGTGAGATAGAGGGATGATAAAATTTAAAATGTTGTCAAACAGCTTTAGATACTTAACGTGACCCAGAGCTGACATGATTCATCAATTAATCACTCAGTCGATTAACAGAAAATGAATTGGCAACAATTTGATAATTGATTAATTGTTTTCAAGTAATTTTTTACACAAAAATCCCCAAACCTGTGGCTCTAGCTTCCTGAATATTTGTAGTCTTTCTTTCGGTTCTATAACAGTCAATTGAATATCTTTGTGTTTAAACTTTTGGTCTGATGGGTCATTTGAGAATGTCAATGGGAAGTTATGGCTGACGATTTTTACTATTTTCTGACATTTTATAGACTATACGAATAAACATTTCATTATGAAATAATCACCAGATTAATCAATAATAAATGTAATGATTGGTTACAGTACTAATTTAATCACAGATGACTGGAAATTCTGACTTCCGGCAGCTTTAAATCTGTGTGATTAATTGATTTTATGAGCATGCATTATTTATTCAGTCTCTTAATTGGACTGGTAAAAGATCTTTAGGTCAGATTCAGTCTCAAGATTAAATTTGATTATTTGAGGCCTGTATATTAATTAAAGTATGAATAGACACAACTTGAACCACAACGTGGATATTTTAAAGGAACAGTGTGTAATATATGGGGGGATTAGTGGCATCTAGTGGTGAGGATTGCAAATTACAACCAGTTGAAACTTCTCCCAGTTAGAATTCCCTCAGTGCACATTGTGCAGGAGGTTTATTACTGGAATCCAAATTATCCACAGGGGTTTTGTCCTTTCTATAACAAACAGACCAGGTGATTTTAACTAGTAAAACACTGATTCATCACACAGTGATTCACATCATAAATCAGTGTGCCTCTAATGCTGTTTGGGGCGGGCCTCTAGCCCTTGCTGCTCGTCTATGGTGGCTGAGGTGAAAATGCAAATGGCCCTGTCTAGAGTCTGTTTGGTTTGTCCGTTCTGGGCTACTGTAGAAACATGGTGGACTCCATGACCCGCTCCCTGTGTAGATATAAATGGTTCATTCTAAGGTAATGAAAACAGAATGAGTCTTACTGTCAGGTAATTATACACTAATGAAAACATACTTATTATATTATATTCCATTTCTGCCTGTATATCCCCCTAAATCCTACACACTGGACCTTTAAGCCATGTTGTGCATTTGCTACACCAGCTACCGACCATTCTCACAGAGCGTAAAAGAGGTGAAGAACCTTCAGTAGGTTTTTCAGTGATGAACAATGTGTTGTACATATTGAGACAAATTTGTGATTTTTTTTTTTAAGTTTGTGCTGTATAAATAAAATGACATGACATCTCAAAACCTCAGCAAGTGAGACAAAGACAGCTGCATGGCTAGATACCTTTAGGGATTTGTGATATGGATGAACCAAATGTTTTTGTATTTAAATGAATTAATGGATGACTTGTACAAGGGTCATTTTTGCACAACTGAGCATCAAAAATGCGTCAACAGCAACATATGACGTAAAAAACATCAATAATATACATTGCTTACATATTATATAAACTACTGAGGACCTGATTGACCAGGATAAGTTAGCAAACATAAATTCAAGTTGTTGTGCATTTAAAAAAGTGAAATAACAGCTCTTCTCTTATGTATTTGTCTAAAGGTGCTTTTTTTTTTGTCGTCACTCTGTTCACGCAGGAAAACGCCCGGCGCGCACAGACTGCATGAGAGACTGCAACAGCCATGTGATGATTACAGCTTTTCATAATGAAAACCATAACAGACTTGATTCCTAGAGGGGAAACCTTACAGAAGTTCAACAATCACCGATTTGCAACCATCACATTCCCTTGTCAATTGTGTTAATTTTTTTTTTTTTAAATATATTTCTTACTGCTCTTGATCAGGGGTTCTCATATTATTCATACTGAGTGCCTGTAAATAGATATTTGACCCAGGACCCCCTTATTGGTTTTTAAATTAGATTTGTAACATAAATTATATTATCCGACTGGCTTAAGTGGAAAATAATTGTTGGAAGAGGGAAAGTTATCATAATAATAACCCATTATCTCATCATGCCACGTGGCGAATGAAAATGCAGCAAAATTAAAGTATTTGTCATCCTCAATAGGCCGTCAAGGACCAGTTTGAGAACCACTTTTAAACGGTAGTTGTTTGATTTGATGAGTCTCATTTTTTTGTATTCAGATCTCTTTTTGAGTTTTTTAGGTTTTCATGTTAATTTCCCTTATTTGCTTTTAAAGTTTAGTAAGAAGATACAGAACAAAAGAATCAACTTTTTATAAAAAATCACATTAACTTATGTTAACTAATGTTGGCATTTTATGAACCTTTTGACTGCACAGAGCTTATTTTTAGAAGAAAACAATCAAGCATGGAGAATGAAAATGGATGAAGGGAAAATGTTTTTTGTACAATGTTTACACAGACTCAATATTCACGGTTGTACTATAGTGCATTGTTCTGCATGACTGTCCATAGATTAGCTTGTACCCGCCCACAAACTGAGTAACATTCCTTAAGTAACTTCTCTGGAGAAACAAAACAGAAATGGTTTATGTGTCACTTTTAAGATATCTGCAAGATTTTTAAGTGGTTATGTCTGTTCCTAACATGGATTGTTCTGTACTATTTGTTCCATTCAAAGTCTTTCTACATATGTTTGTGCCTTGATATCCGTTTACACTTGTTCATTAGAGTCATGCTATCTCCATAGTGTGAATTAGGGCTATTTCTACTCCACTTCACTTCACATAACCCATGATTTAGGATGCACCACAACACCGAGACAAATGGATGATAGTTGTTCATTAAGATAAAAGTCATTCACTTGTTAAATGTAAATAAAAGTTTGCTCACATGATCTCGTATTCTACTGTGTCATCTGTCAAAAGAAATTACAAAAAAATGTATATAGCATATTAATCTGCTCCTTCATGTTCGGACTAAACTATAATAAAAAAAATTATTATAAAAAAAATTATAGAAGGAGAACTATAGAGTGGAAACTGAAAACAATTGCTGTTGAAGATCATCAGATGGGGCTGAAAGCTCAGGAAAAGCTGGTAAATGGACTGAGTTGAGATTATTTTTTGTCACATATCTCAAGGTCGAGAATGGCCCCACCTGCTCACATATAGCAATATATAAGACTATGAACAAGAGCACTACTATTGAATATTGTGTACGAGAAGGTTGCATTGGCATTGCTGTAGAAAACTGAGTATAGATTAATAGGTGAAAGGTGAATTTATTTTGGTGGAGAGTAACTGTACATTTACTGCAGTACTTTATGCTTGTGTATTTCCATTTCATGCCGTATCTATACTTCTACTTCCCTACATTTTATAGGGAAATAATAAGCTATTGGTTGCTTTGCAGATTCAGATTTACCTTATACATGAGATATATAACACCATGCATTAGTGCTGTAGTGGTGGTTGATGAGGTGGGTGTACTACTAGCAAGATGGGTACCGAGGAGGAGGTGGGCGTATTGTCCTTTATTCTGGTGGCTTTTTGTATGACAGGTGGTAATACTGTAAACAGCCAGAGAGTGAGGTGGGTATTTTCCACATACCTGCATATAGCCACCACTACACCACTGCAATGCAGACATTTCTTAAGATTAAATCAGTGGATTGGCATGGTCAGGTTTTATTATTGTGCGACCCTTAAGAGAAGTCCGACCCCTGGATTAAACTGTGTAAAGAGTTCAGTGTGTTTAGGGTGATATATTTAGGGGCAGCTGTGGCTCAGGAGGTAGAGTGGGTCGTCTACCCATCAGAAGATCAGTAGTTTGATCCCTTCAGTCCTCCAGTCTGCATTTCAAAGTATCCTTGAGCAAGATACTGAACCCCATTTTGCTCCTGATGGTTGTTTCATCGGTGTGTGAGTGTGAGTGTGGCACCCTGTACAGTAGCCTTGGCCACTAGTGTGTGAATGTGACTTGTAAAAAGTGCTTTGAGTGTGGTTAGAAGACAAGAGAGGTACTGTACAAGTGCAGGTCCATTTACCATTCACCATCAGAAATGGAATATAATATATAAGTATGTTTTCTTGTGTAGTGAAGTACTCAAAATAATAATCATTGTGGTTTCATTCCCTGAGCCGTTTATATAGGAAGTGGGTCCTCGTCTACAGAGATTGCCATGTTGCATTGCCATGTTTCTACTGTAGCCCAAACCTAACTAACTAACTAATTAACTAACTAACTAACCAAACACTGGTTCTAGATAGGGTTATTCTGGTTTTCTTGCTGGCCACCATAGTAAGCTGCCCTTTATTCCATGTTTTTACCAGTTTAAATCACTGGTTCAACTCCGGGCAAAAACCTCCTGAAAATCTGGATCAGAAATAAATCGTGCACACATTAAGTTAACAGGGAAAACAAGTGAGCACACATTAGTAAGTGCTGGGCTGGCGGCCCATCTGTGACATGCTGAACATGAAACTGCATAATTTAGAGTGTAAATCACCAGGTCCATTTGTTTTAAACCTCCTGAACAGTGAACACTGAAGGAATTATAACCATGAGGAGTTGAAGCTGGTTGCAGTCTGCAATCCTCACCACTAGATGCCACTATATCCCCCTAAATCTTACACACCAGACCTTTAACAGTAGACCTCTTAGAATATAGAACAGTATTAAAAAGCTGCTTACAAACTGATTCATTGGTGTTACCAATTTAATGATGCCATTTATAAAAATAGGAAGTGTTTTTCTCCTAAATAAGCACTTTAACCTTCAACCTTTAAGTGCATTTTGTACTGCAGTACTTCTGTGCTTTCGAATGCAGGCCTTTTGCTGGTAATTCAGTATGTTTACCACTTTGTGTCGGTTCTTTCAGTTTAGTGAAGGATCTCAGCACATCTTGTGCCACTGTGGCTGCATTACAATACAAAGTGTTGTCAGCATTCACAGAGGTGAGCTGAGCTGAGGTGAGCTGAGGTGAGGAGGTGCAGTCATGAATGGTTTGCTCATCTGCAAATGAAATGAGATCTTCACTTGAGCCCAACACCACGTTTGCATTTCTAAACAACAGTTAAGAAAGGTGAATGGACGGTATGCATTTCTCAGACCTTAATATAGGGTGTGGAAGGATTTATATGCAAAGGCAATGGAGAATGGTAATGTGGAAAGTCGTGTAAACAAAGATCCACAAGGTGGCGACATGTAGATTTCAGTAAATCCGCACATGATGGATGGTTGCAGATTTTCAGAGGAGGCAGACAACTTTGGAAAAGTGGCGTTTATACTCTGGATTAAAAGAATAAAGTAACAAAAGTTTTTTTTGAAAAAAATAAGTTATGATTTATTAGATGAAATAATCAGTGTCATTAGTTTACAATATTTACCAGTACATGAATGGATAGATTAAAAACATGTGCAAATGTTCTGTGATTTTCGATTGACTGACTGTGCTTTTCTATGTATTGTTTAATACAATCTGTCTAATTACCCAGCTCCAGATGTGGAGTCTCCACAGTGCAGCACAACACAGTACAGTTACAGTAGGACCCGCTGTGATCACACAGGGAGGGATCTTGTTTCAGGCCACTTGCTATTGGCTGGTCTTGTGATGGGCTGCGCTGATTTGCTGCAGTGAAAAGCTCAACATCGTCAAAGTCCGCTGACAGACCTTCAGCTGGCTCAGAGCAGGGAATACACAGAGCAGCGTATAACCTCAGACCAGCTGTAAATCTGTGGGGTTGTGGATTGTGCTGGGATTAACTCTGATATTAATGCAAAGGTGAGTTTTTAATCTCTACAAATTTTAAAAGTGTAATACTAGTGAAAGCGCGCGTTACTTTATCTAATGCATGTTTTTTTTTGTTGCAGAAACAATTAACAGGAGTCTGAACTTCCCTGCAGACGTCTACTCACAAGCAATGGTAAGTTTTTCCTCCTTTTGACAGTTTTGTAGACGCATTGCAGACGCACTGATTGCAAAGATAGTTATCCAGAACTCTCAGCAGAAACACTTTAAGTGTTTTACGCACAAGCAATATACATTATTGTACTGTTTCTTAAAGTTTTTCCCTTTAATGGCTGTTCTTTTTGGAAAGTTAGTGTGCTGGTGACTGTTGTAATCCCCTCAAGTCACTGTCAATTCAAACCAAACTGTCCCTGCCAAATGCATACAACTGGGTGAATCACTCCTCCTCGTTGTGTGGAGGCAGCCAAGGAGAACAGGGCATTTTTAGAGATGCAGACTGACCACAGAGTCCCTCTGAGGATGTCTCTATATGTCAGATAAGTCTTCCCCCAGGGGCCAAATGGTTCAGCACCCACAGCTGTGATAACATCATGGCATTGTGGTGTCCCTACTACTCCAAGCCAAACACACTGGCAGGACAGGGAGACTAACTAAATATTGTAAGAATTTGGAAAACAAAATGTGTGACAGCAAAAAAAGTTCAGCAGTGACTGTACAACAGGGACACTTGTAGGGGAGAAAAGCATTTGAAGACTTTTTTATATGTGAAGGTCATGTTGCATTTACTGGACTGCATTGATTTCAGTTTCTCCGAAGACTGGAAAACATATGATTCATAATTAATTCATGATCAGTGTGTAATTCCAAAATGTTGCTGTCATTTCCTGCCGCATAATGCGATCCAGTCAACATCCTGTGAGTTAGGGGAATCCAGAGAGGATATGTGCCTCTGCACTCCTCCACGATTCAGCGCTACTTTGTGCAAACTTCCCCTCTTGCTTTAGGAGGCAGGGAGAGTTTTCCCAGTATAAAATGTGCATCCTGTTCTCAGAGCCATGACTTTTTCATTTTCTGGGCTCATACTGCATGGGATGGTCTCCATAAAGCTGCTCTGAGGTTTGTCAGGAATGCTTCACTTGTTATATGGTCATAGAGCAGAGTGATCTCAGCTGGTAAAAATCTTATTGGCCCAGTTTTGGAAATAACAGAGGGAACTGTGTCTCAGCTAGACCGGCCAGGGCATGATGGGATATTTTGGAAGCCAGCCTAACGGCTCTGTAGACTCCCGCAATAGTCGACCAAAGCCCTTTGGTTAGACGTGTTGTTTTTAAATAGACTGTATTTAAATCCGGTCTGCACCACTAACCATACTCTTTGTGTCTTTCTCTTTCTATAGCTGTGTTTAGGAGACTCTGCTGACTGCCTCCGTGACCAGATGCAGTGCATGATGAGATCCTTGCAGGACCTGAAGCAGATAAGCAGGCCGAGGCCCCTGAGTGAACCATGTGCTCGGTCCTTCGCTGTGACACGGCTCTGCAAACAGAGGGCACAGCAAGAGCGACTGGCTCGTCTACGTGTTTCTGACGCCAGTGAAGCCAGCACATATGACTCTGCCTGCTGCCTGGCAAGCCCCCTGGAAGAGGAGGAAGAGCATCAGGAGCATGAGCGGTTGGCACAAGGCTCCCCAAGCAGCGAAAAGAGCATGGACTTTGACTCTGGTTACTCTGAGGCTTCTTGGCAGGATGAAGGTGTGGTGCTGAGGAGGACCAGGAACGTGAGAGTCTCCTCTTCTGCCTGCCTCCGCACAAACAGAGGACCTTCTGGCCGAATCCGGCCCAAATCAACCTCGGACGCTTGCCTGGAGCGCTGGACCTCATTTGAGGCCAGTGACCCAGAGGACTGGACGACGTCACTGCTTAGCCGCAGCAGAAACAGACAACCTCTGGTTCTGGGCGACAACAGCTTTGCTGACCTAATAAAGAACTGGATGGACCTACCAGAGTGTCCTGAGCCAGCAGAACTGAAGCCCAATGCGGGCCGGCGCCTTGCCAAAGACATTTTGATCAACATGCGTCGCAGACTGGCAGGGATGTCTAAAAGTGCAGAGGTGAGGCCGAGGCCAGCAGACTGCACAAAACCCAGCAGGGCTGCAGAGGCTCCCAAAAGGATGTCCTGTCCTGTGGGACTCCAGACTTTCAAACCTTTCTTTCACCAGTCCCACACAGGCCTACATCAACCAGACTCTGACTTCTACCAGTTCACAGCTCTCATGAAGACAGGTAGCCGGCAGCCCATTATATGCAATGATGTTATTGGATACATTTAAGCAAGGCTTTAACTCTGGACTGACCCATTAACACAGATTCAAATAAGACGGTTTTATTTTTGTAATTGGATGTTGTTCACAGTGTTGATACATCTGGAATAAAAGTGTTTTGGATTGAACGAAAATGTGTTTTGTTCCTGCCTCAGTGTGAGCAGTGCTCACTGTAAAAACTGTATTATTGTGGTGCAGTATTATTGTCCTGGATGCAATATCATAGTAACATAGTAAATGCTCTAAAGCTCTGCAAGTCAACAGGTCCTTTTTCCAGGTTAAAATGGGAGGTTAGGTGAGGTGTGGTCATCACAGCAGAGTATGTTCATGACCAAAGAGATGGTAAGGGAACTAAAGACTGACAGTTAAGTACACAGATACAATTTGGTTCCTTAGAGACACATTTATTGAATTAGTACAGTTAAAACACAATTCAATCGCACACATCATTCTTCGATCACTGATTAAATAACCCCTATTAGTAGCTGCAGTAATAATTCCTGAGAGCACATGACACGATTCAAATAGCCGAGAGCAGAGCATTGTAAAAATGACATTATAAAAGTGAGGCTGTAAAGTGAAACCCATCGAGGGGTTGTGGAAAAGGGCAGTTTGTGCATAAAAGCCATCTGAGGACAGACGAAGGCTCCGTAGATGAGTCCAGCTTCTCATGACCGGCTCTGGGATCCTTCTGGGGAGGGAGGGGGAGGTTGGATGCATGTGTGCTCCAAGCAGGATTTAAACATGACAGTTGTGTCCAGATGGCAAGAGCACCCCGAATCGTCAGTGCACTGTACCCACTGTGCCAAGTGCCTGTTCGGACTTGCATCCCCCCTTTCAACCTCGTGCTCAGTCTGACCTGAATTAAACCTTGAAACCAGGCCAGTGCTGCCCCAGCAGCGCCAGATCATCTAATCCATATGCCTTGGCAAGCATCTTCACAACCTCTTAGCCTAACCTCTTGAAAGACACATTTTACATGTAAATGAAAACCAAAAGTTAGCAAACAGAACTTTGTGGGAACTTTTATGGGAATGAGGAAAGGTAGCGTTTGCTAAGTTTATGCTTTTGCCATAGAATAAAGAAAAAGGGAAAGGGGACATGGACATGGTTGTGGAATAATTCACTTCACATGATCAAAGTGTCATTAACAATACAAACCGATTAATGTGGGACTAATAAAGAATGATCTTATCTTATCTTATCTCATCTTAGCTTTAAAATTATGCGAGTGCAATAGTTCAAAAACATTTGTGAAAGGAAACAGATCAACAGAAGCTAGGAAAAAAAATCATTTGGATATTAATCTTGGCAAACAACAGCTAAAGCAACAAAATGAGGATGTTTTTAACCGATACGATGTCACAGGAGTTTTAACTTTGTTCTGTCACATAGAAGTGTTGTGCTGTGACGCCTTCTCACTGGAAACATTGTGGAAATTTTGTGCTGGTGTCATCACAAGAGCAGGTATCTGATGGGTGGGGCTGTCTCACAGTCCTCATCTTCAGTAAATGAGGCGACCAGCTCCAACATCTTCTTGTTTTGAGGAATGTCTTTCTTGGTGACCTTCTTCACCACCTCAGACACACTGCAAACAACAACAAACCATATAGCATTATAATTATACCTACTTAAACACACATTGACATTAGTTTAGCTTTAAAAAAGTGTGCCTTTCATCATCAACTATGACCATAAGTATTTTGATCTTGCTTTTTCTTATCAACAAATCACATAAAAAGACAAAAACCAACATGATTTCATCTCAATAACTAGTATTTATGTATCCAAAGCTTTATATAGTGTATTCCTGTGTGAGGCAGATCACAATAATGTCATGTCAATCCCACATACACCATCCTGCTGCTGAAAATACTTAGTAGCAAATATAAGGTGTATTAATCCATTGCTGAAAATAGTCCCCAACAAATATACTATTTACTACAGTTTATGCAAGGCTTCTGTTAAACTACAGTGTCCAGCTGTTTTAGGAAACTATTAAATATGTTTTTATATGTTTATATGTTTTATACGTTTTTATGCGTCTTATTTGCACCATGCTTTTGCTGCTGTAATGATGCAAATTTCCCCACTGTGGGACTAATAAAGAATTGTTATTGTATCATATCACATCGCATCGTATTGTATCGTATCATAGGGTATGGCATAGTATCATATAGGGATGTCCCGATCCGATATTCGGATCGGTATTGGCCGCCGATATTAGCAAAAAACGGGCATCGGCATCAGATCGGACTGCATGGAAAAATGCTGATCCAAGAACTCTGATCCAGTTTTTCACGGAGTCCGCTCCAGGTTTTCTGGCCAGCCCAGCACTCCGCAATTCAAGCAGTCCATTCCAGTGATCCGCTCCAGCTCTTACTATCAATCCACCAGGCCAGCATGCAGACGGCAGACACATGGAGGGTAGGAAGAGTAACGGTCAACTTAGTTAACTATTTGTTTTCTGCTCTGGTTTTTTGAGAGTGATATTTTTATTTGGTTTACACTCTTACTGTTTAAGTAAAGAGCACTGACGGCATTGTTTTGGGCACAGTTAGTGAAATTGGAGCCATGGATGGACTACAAAAACACTACTAAAATAACTGAAAAGGAAAGGCTGCATTGTTTGTTAAATGCCAACAATGTCTTGTGGTGTTAATCTTTTTTTTATTTATTAGGGGGGCCAAAGCACAAGTGTGTGGAACCTTGCTGCTATTTTAATTTCATTGTTAGACATTTTAAAGATTTCTTGTGTTGATTTATTTTCTATTTATTAAGGGGCCAAAGCAGCTAAAGCAAACCAGCTATATTTTTTTTATTTAATGTTAATGTTCAAATTTCAAGTTTGTTTATTTAACCCTGTTAACAATAAACAGGTCAGTTTCTCATACCAACTGTTGTGGATCATTCTAAATAACCCGATTAAGTAGTTGTTCTTGTTAGAGTAATATCGCTTGATCAAACCTTTTCTAACATGACTGACAACAAAATAAGTGAGCTTGGATCGGATTGGTATTGGTATCGGCCAAAACTCAAGGCTGTAATATCGGAATCGGATCAGAAGTGAAAAAGCTGGATCGGGACATCCCTAGTATCATATTGTATCGTATCGTATCATATCATATCACATCGCATCGTATCGTATCGCATCGTATCGCACCATATCGTATTGTATCGTATCATATGGCATGGTATCACATTGTATCGTATCGTATCATATCATATTGTGTGGTATTGTATCGCATCGCATCGTATTGTATCGTATCATAGGGTATGGCATAGTATCACATTGTATCGTATCATATCATATCATATCGCATTGTATTGCATCGTATCATATCGTATTGTATCGTATCGTATTGTATCATATATTGTATCACATCGTATCGTATTGTATCGCACCGTATCATATTGTATCGTATCATATGGTATGGTATCACATTGTATCGTATCCTCTTATCTTACCTCACCCTACCTTATCTTAAATATGAAACTATAGGATTTACATCTTCAGTAGGAAAGAATGGGTTTGTGACCATTCAAAAACATGCTGTTGGCTTTGGTCTTTTCATGGGATTTTTCTTAACCATAAAAAATGTTGAATAACAGCAACTATACAATTGAATGATTTTGAAAATTGTCTTTATTCTTAAGTCTTTATCCTTTATTTGGATCTCCATTAGCTGCCACCACTCTTCCTGGGCTCCTCACCCAACAAAGGAAACATAAAATATGACATGTGGCACATATAAAATATTTTAAAAAGACTGTGATCAAGACAAGTAAAAATCAAGAGGGAAAACTTAACATCAAAACATGTCAAATCACATTCCTTCCTTTTGTTCAGGTCGGTTGACATTGATGTTAATGTGTGTCTTTAGTGGCCCTTTAAAACTCTTAGTTTTTAAGTTCTAAGTTTCCCTTCACTGGCCCAGCACAGGCAGCTTGGAGCAGGGTGACTACACAGGAAGTGACTACTGGAGAGGGCATTTGTCATGTGCGGCCTGCTGTCCAAACAGCCCCTCTCGCTCTGCAGCTTAATCTAACCTCAACACCTCCACCAGCCCCCTAGAGATCTGAGCACCACAAACAGACACGGACACGCACACAGTCTGATTCAAGACGAGCTCAAAGACCTCACAGCAAGATTTACGCAAAGCATGATTACAATCAAATATTCTAATTCTTCCAGCAAATCACTGCCTATAAAATGTCTTTGATAAACCTGATTTATGACATTTCCCCCTCCTCCTGCGATAAATACATCCCTGAGGATGCATATTCTGCTCTGACTCAGTTCTTGATGACGAGAGTTCACAGCACGAGACACCTGATTTTTTTCAAACAACCCGGGGCTTATAACACGCTGCAGCGCTGAACAGGCCCAAACAACATGGCTTCTCAGATGCAGAAAAAAAAGGTCACACTGATTTAACTCTTTAAACTCTTGTCCTCAACAAACAGAAGGAAACCCGAGGAGGATCGGTCTCACTCGTCAGTGCTCAGTGATGCATGTGTGAGTGTGTCAACAGGCTCTCTGCTCGCAGGTTCGGAGGAAACACCTCAGCCTGCCATTAGCCTCTAAACAAACAAAGGGAGGCTGCTTATTGTGATTGTTTTTGTGTGCAGGGCTGTGTGCCATGTGTAGCCATGCATATGCAAAACTGTCTTTGTCTTAGCTGGACATACCTCTGCTTGAGCCTCTCTTCTTGCCCCACGTATAAGACAGCTGGTCCATAGAAGAGACCGCTGATGGTCAAGTTATATTTGTCCTGCACAAAGACATGATTTAGTTAAAGTTACCGTACAATATAACAAACACAACAATATAAAAAAGAGGGTAACGTATCATCTGCATGCATTATGCAGAGGTAATTTCTTCAAAGACAGTGGTCAGCAGATCTTCAGGTCGGACGATAACCTGTGGCCTAAAACATCGTCAGCAGCTCAGGAAGCTCTTCAGCGTCTCCACAAACAAACCAGGGAAACCCGGCCAGTTAAAGGTTAAACGAAACTTGGAGCAAATATGATCACTTGCCAGTTTATTTTCCCTTTGCTTCCTCAGAACGAATTTGGAATCAATACACCAAATGTTTGCTCAGGACAAGAATGTGCATGTGTAATGAAAGATGCTTAAAGTCATGTTCAAACATTTCTGTTGCAAGTGACCTAAATAAATATTGTAAGGACAATGCGCTGAGTACGCAAAAGCAACAGGACACGATTATACTGCATCACCTTTATAAGTACCTTGGAATATGTATCTTCTATAAATGTACACTGTATTCTGGGATATTATGGTGCACATTCACCAGTTTCTGATCAACTATAAGCTTCATGTAGCAGTCAGGAAAACAAACATTATGATGTTTGGGATGGTAGCAGCTTATCACTTGTTAGTGTAAAATACAGTGTATCACTTGCTGCTCTTGTCTTCCGTTACTGGTGATATGATAGAGAAACTGAGTTCACAAGACAGTTACCATGCAGCACTGTCAAAGCCAGGTTTGTCATTGTTGGTTCTGTTTCATTTGCTGAGATAAGTTAAAGATAAAACATGCAGGATGTACAGTCTCATAAAAAGTAATCTCTCGCAAGCTTCACTCATGACCCATTCTCACAGTGCGCCGGTGTATTTTTCTGCAGAGACTCTGCCCTCTGCCTGTGTTTTCTTATTTTCTCATTATTTTCTCTGTTCAGGACATTTATGGGTGTGTATCCCTACAGCGCACAGGTGAGGTCGGGGCTTTATAAAAAGGTAGCAACCAGGTACCATTTAAGCAACAGGCATCCAAGAGACACAATGAAAAAAAAAAACAAATATAGCACGGCAAAACACCAAAGAGTGAATCTGGGGTTGCCTTTTACTTTAATTTTCACTGTTGAGTGTTTTTACAAAAAATAACCAACAATCCTGCAGTTTTTCTTTAACTGGTGCAGCAACCTGCAGGGCTGCTGTGGTAACTTGTCATGTGTCCAACATTTTGACTTAGACAGGACTGAATTGGAACAGTCCCGACACGTTTATCTCTGGACTTTGGCGAAATTTTGTGCAAAGCAGCATCTTAGTTTTTGAAGACACAAGATTTTATCTAGTTCTTTCAAATGATCTCAGCTTTCCCATCTTAGTTCATGAAATCTAGGTTGTATGAAAATAAGTAGAGGCCTTTAGTTAAGGAAAGGTTTGACATTTTGGAAAGACATTTATCTGCTTTCTTGTAGAGAGTTAGAGGATTGGTACCACTCTGATGTCTGTCATCTAAAAATGAAGCTACCACCAGCAGCTGGCTAACTCAACTTAGCACAAGAACTTGAAACGGGGAAACAAGCAGCTAGCTCAGCTCTGTCCAGAGGTAAATAAAAAAATATCCTCTGACCAGCGCTTCTAACGCCTGGTCCCAACAACCTCACACCGATGCTGAAATAGCTTGACTCTGTCGTTAGGTAACAGCTGAGCGATGCTAACAGTTAGCATTGTCACTGTGCATGTGCAGGCAGACTCTCACTAGTGTGTGTAGCACAACAAGCCTTTCGCTGGTTAAAAACAACAATGCATTTGGTCTTTGCAAATGAAAATGGTGTACATGTTTATTTGCATATACAACAGGGAAGTGAAATCTCATCACACGTTCACTCAAGACGTATGTGGAGACGCATTCTAATGCCAGGTGTGAACAGACACCATTTAACAGCTGCTGCTGCTGTGTTAGCTCATGCTAACCGGGCAGACGCTGAACTAAGCTGAAAGAATGTGGCCATATGCAGCGTGAACCACCTCTGAATGAGGTCTGAGCGATCCAATCTCAAGATGCATTTAAGATACATTCACGCCCGTACTTAGAGCTCTCAACTTGTGATCACCCAAGATAATACACGTCACAACTAAGAAAATGTAAAATATGTAAAATACTGTATATATCTATATCCTATATTATGGTCGTTTTCTTGCAGTAAAAACACATCAGCCTTGGGGAAAAGGTTGCACACATTGTTCAACAACTGGAATAAAGTTGATGGTTATACAACAGCATGAATTTCCAGGATGGTCGAACAGAGTCCTGAAGTTGTGAATGGAAGGTGTAAAGCGGTCAGTCATTTCAAACAATGGCCATTGTGTGCACTGGAGGAAGGTGAGCAGGTTTAGGGATAAGATACGCGTAAAGTATGCACTCAGTAGCACCGGGTGTGAAGAAAGTGTGTGTGAGGCTGTACCTTGATAAACTGGAACAGATCTCCCAAGGTCATTTCCTGCTGACCGCCGCGTCTGCCCTCAACAAGGAAGTCATCCCACAGGGTGTATTTCTTTCCTGCGACCTGCCGATAGACATGTCACACACACACACACACACACACACACACAGTTGACAGATGAAGTACTTCTTGTTGTGAGGGATGTGTAGAAGATGTTTGGGTCCTATAAAAAGAGTCGTGGACACTCAGACAGACAAACAGACTGCATTTTTCATCACTGCGTTATAAAGCAGCTGAGAACAATCAGCAGCCCACTAAAGTTGCAGCGTGGACCTGAACAAGCCTCGATGAGGTCAAGAAGGTGCTTCCTCCTGTATGATGGAGTGACCGTCTGTCTTTTCCCAAGTTTCCATCTACAAGGCTTACTTGATTCTCAGTGTTATAATCAGTGACAAACATCCATGCATGCAGATGTGTCAGTGTAGTTTTGGGCAGATGATATTTGTGCAAATTGAGAAAAAGTTAAAACCTGCATCTGTGTGAATAAAAATGTGTTGCTCTGGGCGGTGAAATAACAACAGGAATTTTTCCAGACACCTTGCCAGATTGCACTTTAAGTGGCTGAAGTTTGAGCTTTGAGGGGTCGTTTTTGTTCTGAATTTCCTGTTTGAGTCATCTGTTCGGCCATTTAAACTGGGACTGACAGATTGTCTGTAATAGCAGCATTTATCTTCAGCCCTCTGTTACTGATAGGTTTACACTGTGTTGAAACAAATTCTCCAATTATCAAGTTAATGAGCAGGAAATTAATCGATGACCATTCTAATGATTGGACTGTGTATTAAACATCAATGCCATTTTTCTATTGACCAAAATATGTCCGCAGCGTTTGCACAAGAGCATCTAACTGTTTCATTATTTCAGTACTAGTACCAAAACTTAGCCAACATATCAGCTCTAATTTCAAAAAGTTTTTGAGTTTTATGAGTTTAAAGACATGACTTTGGATATTTGGATGGACATTTGTGGGTTTTTTATATTTTATAGACTAAAGTTTATCAGAAAAATCTGCATAACATTAGCTGATAATGAAATAATCATTGTAGTTTTACATATTTGTATAAAAAATGTTATGTTATATATAATGTTAAGTGTTCTTTTACATTAAAGGTATAGGTCCCAGATGTTTGCTATTGTTTGACGTGGTCCCTAATCAATCTTTAAGGGTGTTTCCACATAGTCCTTTTTTAACAAACCAAACTCAGTTCCCTTAAAGTGCACCAAAAAGTGGGCCAACAGAAAAGGGACTCAGTTCTTTCTGTGTTCACACTATAGCCTATATATAATATATATTGATTTAGTTTTGGTTTTACTTTGATGTGGCATTGCAGAACAGTTATGAAGCTCCTCGCTTTCAGATGAACTTAAAATTGGAGGAAAACCTGAGTGTTTCTGTGCCTTTTGATGTATTCTACATTCCACATCTGGAGATGTGCAGTATCTTCTGTGGAGCAAACCATTCCTCGCCCTGCGTCCTTGCAAGTGTTACAGGCCGATGTGGTTTTGTCTGTTTTTTCAGGCGTCCCAGTGCAACAGCATGTGATTTAGAGGCCTAAATACAATGGTGTACAAGTGTGTTCACAATGCACAAGTTAAACGAACTGCACTGCAGACAAGAGTTCGCTTCAGAGGGGACTGAGTTCTGTGTTCACATGTGTGCAGAAAATGCTGATGCTCTGAGTCCACTTAGAGGGCTGAAAAGTACCAAGTGTGAAAACACCCTATGTTTGCCGTTTTCCATAGCGACATGTGAGAAAAAGTTTTCATTACAACTTCAAGGTAACACGACATGACTAACTGATTTACAAATGGTCATTTTGTGAGTGAGTTTGAGAGTCTAAATGAAGCTTAACAAACAGTCACACATTGAGAGAACTTCAAAAACTGCTGTCACACCCCTCATCATCTCACAAGATCAGATTTTAGGAAGCATGACTCAAAAGTAACGCGGTGGCCTCTAAATCACTATTCCTAAAGGATTGACTTTGACCTCGAAAGAAACACAAAGCACAAAGTCAAGACAGATTTGATTCAGACACCACGTGTTTACTATAAACAATCATAATTTGCACATGTAGGACTTTAGGAGAAAACATCACCTGACCTGCAGTGAGTCGGGATCCTCACATGCAGAAAAAACATGTCAGAATATGTCACAGAGGCAGACGACCCTGATCAAACAGGCGCTGTCTGGTGGGAGAAATTGTGAAGATCAAAACTTGGCTTGAGATGTGAATACCAAAACTCCGGCTAAACCTGGGTCCAATTATCTCTGCTCCAGCAGCCAAGGGGAACTTTTCGACCAGCCCTCACAACTCCCACCACTTATGGGGTTTAGGGTTATGGAGACACACTCGAGGCATACTTCTGCTCAAGTCTGACGGGGTGTCTAGGTCCTTTGTCCCATTTTCAGACAAAGCACGTTTTGTTTGCAAGATGCACGTCGTAACCCTGGTCGTGTTAATGCTGAGTGAATTATCAGTGCAGCCTCCAACTTCCCATTTGCAGAACAGAACTTCAAGCTGAAATGCACATGCAGTACAAAAAATATTTCAAACAATCTTACAAATGCAAAGTCATTGTTGCACTTAAGAATTGACCTCCTTCGTTCAGTGGTGCCACGCCACATTTGTGCTTTTGTGTGCAGATGCTGATTTTACACAATGCTAAGCAGGCATGCAGGCTATTTTTACTCTCTCCACTCCCTTCCTCTTTCTCATATCTGTCGCACAACTCAGGCAGGAACCAAAAGCCGGTCCACTACCCCATCAGACCGTGTGTGTCCGTGAGTGACGTCAACTATTCAACACTATAGCAAGGGAGGAAAAAAATAAGCAAGAACACTGGAACCAAACTGGCTGCTGGAAACAATTACAAATGGTTTCCCACAAGCACCACTACAGTATCTTTTTGTCATGAAACCTCCGCCATAAAAACGAAAATGGCCCAATGAAACAGTTATTTCTGGGGAAGGAGACGGGATGGGAAGCAGAGAGTTATTGTTTTGCTCTTAGAGCAACACTGAACCAAATTACTGGTCTGCTTTACTGGGAGCCCACATGCAATTCTCTGCAGCTAATAATACATAGACACATCTTTATCCAATGTTATATTTTACTATAATACTTGATTCTGACTGGTTAATCACAGCTTTGTATGTTGAGTTTTTTCTGAATAGACTGGTGCTATAAACACAGTTCTGATCACAGACTTTGGAGAAAGTGTTAAAATATTTTTTAAATTCAATTTAGGGTAATGTAAGACCTACATCTCCGTGTTTGGGTTTATTTTGTAACAATGAATCACTCGATGTACATTCTGCAACCCAGTTGCCTGAAAAGGTTACATTACATTTGCCTGATATTATGTAGCGGATACACTGAAACTTTACTTTTCTTTACTTTTCATCAATGCTGTGGTTAACGTGTGGTTATGTTAAGGCCCAACTTGGTTATGGTTAGGAGAGGATAATGTTTGGGCTTAAAAAAGCCCAGCTGGAGAAGCTGTAATCTTGGTAAAATCAACAGCTTTTCATGGCACAATCCCAGCTGGAAATACAGCAATGTCTCAGTAAAAAACATCTGCTTTTTGTGGTACTTTACCACTAGGAAACAAAGTGTTTTTTGGTAAACAACAACCTCTTTTTGTGGCACTATCCCTAGTGGAAAAACTGCGATTGGACCGGTTGCAAATAAAAAGAGTTTGGTAGCTAAAAAGCTGCTGAAAACAAAGCAATAACTCACTGATAGCACCTAGTTTTGTTGTTTGTTGGTCTTCAATTGGTCGGCAGCTTGGCATGCATCTCGCCATTCACCAACCCCTTCAACTCCCGGTGACAAAGTCAACTTATATATTACGTCACTTCAGAAACGTTAATATGATGACACTTATAAAACGTACAAATGTAACATATTCGTGGTTTGCAGAAACGTACAACTCCAACATTTTGTTCTGCATTATCCATTACATAAACCACCTGCACTCAAAGCGGATACAACCATTTTGAAAAAGACCAATTAAAAGGGAGAGTTACAGAGTTCATATTACATAATATCATATAAGTCCATGCAATTAAGTTTGGCAAGGTTATCTTGAGGTTAGTGTAGCATTACTGTCTAAGAGGTCACCTGTCATGTTGACAACAGCGTGACTGACAAATCCCTGCCAAGTGTTACTTGGTTGCTCATCACAGCTGCACAAAATCAGCTTGGCCTTGGGGTTGGAGTGTCCATCTTGAAATGGCAGGCTGGAATTTTTAAGTGGGCTCAAGGTAAATGCATTTAAAATAAGTCTCTGGTGTGAATGGCAATGAATATTAGAAATGCTTAGAGCTGTATGGTCCCTTATTTGACGAATTGTTCAACCTCAGGAAAGCCTTTTTTACATATTTCATATCAGCTACTCATATGCTGTGTCCAGTGTGTGTCTGCAGATCCAGACGTCTGTTTGGACACAAAGCAGAGCTGCCACTCGGGATTCGGGTTGTTAAAATATACCGAGTTCCACTTCAGAGGATGAGGATGAGACAAACGGCCATGTCACAGGCCTGAGTGGATAAAGCCACACTGCTGAACATATAATGTAAGTTTATACTCTGTCTGATCTGTTGTTGGAGAGCAGCCAAATTTCTCATCTGCTGTCCACATACTGCAGTCTGTATAATAAATGGAGCTTTGAACTTCCCCCTAAAACATGACACAGCTGGTCTTTCCAAAACAATAAAGGAACACAATGACATTTCAAATGTTTAACTGCTTCTCATTTCACCACAGCACCCGTCATTGTTTCACTGACGCTGTAGATAATCACATGCACGTTGGTTGCATCAACGCAAGTCACAATGTGGAAACACCATTAACAAGAACACAGGCTGTTCTCATGCACTGTTTGTGTGTATACCTAAGAAAAGTGATGCACCACAATTTGTATATAACCCACAGAATCATGAGCTAGAAATGTGTGTGCAACCTATGTAATTGGGAAGGCTGCAATCACTTGACTATTGCAAAGACAGGAGTAAAGACGAAAGTAATATAAGAACTTAAAGTCAGTGTAAGGAGCCA